CTGGCAGGCCAGAAATGGCTGGCAGGATATATTCAGGGTACTAAATGAGAAAAACATGCAGCCAGGAATACTTTATGCAGCAAAGCTGTCAATCAGAATAGAAGGAAAGATAAAGATCTTCCAGAATAGGCAGAAACTGAAAGAATATGTGACTACCAAACTGACTCAGCAAGAAATCTTAAGGGTGGGGGACCCTGTAAAAGAAAGAGGGGGCCCAAAGAAACAATCCACAAAAACAGGCACTGAATAGGTATTACAATGACACTAAATTCATATTTTTCAATAGTTGCTCTGAACACGAAAGGGCTAAATGACTCCATCAAAAGACGCAGGGTATTGGACTGGATAAAAAAAGCAAAACTCACCTATATTTTGTCTACAAGAGACTCATTTGAGACCTAAGGACAAGTCCTGCCTGAAAATGAAAGGTGGGGAACCATTTACCATTCAAATGGTCCTCAAAAGAAAGCAAGGGTATCAATCCTCATATCAGATAAGTTAAGGTTTATAGCCAAAACTGTAGTACGAGATGAAGAGGGACACTATATTATATTCAAAGGATCTATCCAACAAGAGGACCTAACAATCATGAATATTTATGCCCCTAAGGTGGGAGCTGTCAAGTATATCAATAAATTAATAACCAAAGTAAAGACATACTTAGATAATAATATACTAATAGTAGGAGACTTAAACATGGCACTTTCTGCAAATGACAGATTTTATAAGCACAACATCACCAAAGAAACAAGGGCCTTAATTTATACGCTGGACCAAATATATATCAGAGATATATACAGAACTTTCCATCTGAACTCAACTGAGTACACGTTCTTCTCAAGTGCACACAGAACTTTCCCCAGAATAGACCGCATACTGGGTCACAAGTCAGGTCTCAAAAGATATCAAAAGATTGGGATTGTCCCCTGCATATTTTCAGACCACAATGCTTTGAAACTAGAACTCAATCACAAGAAGAAGTTTGGAAGGACCTCAAACACGTGGAGGTTAAGGACCATCCTGCTAAAAGATAAAAGGGTCAACCAGGAAATTAGAGAAGAATTAAAAAGATTCATGGAAACTAATGAAAATGAAGATACAACGGTTCAAAATCTTTGGGATACAGCAAAAGCAGTCCTAAGAGGGAAATACATGGCAATAAAAGCATCCCTAAATTTTTGGAAAAAACTCAGATACACAAGCTAACCTTGCACCTAAAGGAATTGGAGAAAGAACAGAGAGTAAAGCCTACAAAAGGAGAAGACAACAGATATTAAAGATTTGAGCAGAACTCAATGAAATAGAGACCAGAAGAACTGTAGAACACATCAACAAAACTAGGAGTTGGTTCTTTGAAAGAATTAATAAGTTAGATAAACCATTAGCCAGCCTTATTTTTAAAAAAAGAGAGAGAAAAGACTCAAATTAATAAAATCATGAAGGAAAGAAGAGAGATCACAACCAATATCAAGGAAATACAAACGATTTTAAAAATGTATTATGAGCAACTATACAGCAATAAATTAGGCAATCTAGAAGAAATGGATGCATTTCTGGAAAATCACATTACCAAAACTGGGACAGGAAGAAATAGAAAACCTGAACAGGCCAATAACTAGGGAGGAAATTGAAGCAGTCATCAAAAAACCTCCCAAGACACAAAAGGGCCAGATAGCTTTCCAGGGAAATTCTATCAAACACTTAAAGAAAATAATACCTATTCTACTAAAGGTGTTTCAAAGGATATAAAGAGAGGAAATACTTCCAAACTCATTTTAAGAGGCCAGCATTACTTTGATCCCAAAACCAAAGACCTCACCAAAAAAGAGAATTATAATACCTGATGAACATGGATGCAAAAATTTTCAACAAGATACTAGCCAATACGATCCAACAGTACATTAAGAGAATTATTCACCATGACAAAGTGATGGGATGCAAGGGTGGTTCAACACTCATCAAACAATCAATGTGATAGATCACATCAATAAGAGAAAAATGAAGAACAATATGATCCTCTCAGTAGATGCAGAGAAAGCATTTGACAAAATACAGCACCCATTCCTGATTAAAACTCTTCAAAGTGTAGGGACAGAGGGAACATTGCTCATATCTTAAAACCCACTTATTAGGCAGCCCGGGAGGAGGGGGGGGCTCAGTGGCTTAGCGCCGCCTTCCGCCCAGGGTGTGATCCTGGAGACCCAGGATGGAGTCCCACGTCGGGCTCCCTGCATAGAGCCTGCTTCTCCTTCTGCCTGTGTCTCTGCCTCTCTCTCTCTCTCTCTCTCTCTCTCTCTCTCTCTCTCTCTCATGAATAAATAAATAAAATATTTTATAAAAAAAATAAAAAAGAAAACATGTCTACACCAAAAGTTGTACGTGACTATTCAAAGCATCATTATTCATAATAGACAAAAGTTAGAAACAATCAAAATATCTGTCAATGGACAAACAGATAAACAAAAAATGGTATGGCCATACAGTAGAATATTAATTGTTCATAGGAAGGAATGAAGTACTGAAATATACTATAGCATGAATGAACCTTTAAAAAAAGTGCTAAGTAGAAGAAGCCAGTCACAAAAGACTTCATGTTGTATGATTCCACTCATGTGAAAGCCCAGCATAGGGAAATAAATAAAGATAAGAAGAAGATTAGTGGTTGCTTGGGGCTGGAAAGGGAGCATGGGGATAAGGGAGTGATTGTTAATGGATTCAGGATTGTCCTCAGGGAGCAACAAGACAGTGAGGGAAATAGCCATTTTTTAAAAAAGATTTTTTAATTTATTTATTCATGAGAGACAGAGAGAGAGGCAGAGACACAGGCAGAAGGAGAAGCAGGCCTCCTGCAGGGAGCCCGATGGAGGACTCCATCCCAGGACCCTGGGATCAGAACCTGAGCCAAAGGCAGATGCTCAACTATGGGGCCACCCTAGTACCCCAAAGTAGCTATTTTTAAATGTCATAAAAATAATAAACACCACAGAAACAGTACACACAATCCATTGTAAGAAGTGCTATGAAAGAGAAGATCACAATTCAATGAGACATACTTTCAAGAACCTGGGTTCAAATGGGAAGTCAGTGAAGGCTTTGCTGAGGAAGACACTTTTTATCTAAGAATTGAAGGCTGATGTGTGTAGGGTATGGGGTATGGGGTGGGGGTGGGGAGGGGGAATGTGTGAAAAGGGTGTTCCATTTAGAACAGTTTGAGTGAAGAGCTATAAGAAAAAATAACTATTTTCCCGGATTGTACATGATTCAGCTTATTTCAATGCCAAGGTTTGGAAGGCAAGCAGCAGATCTGAGCCCCTCAATGGTCAATATGCCAACATACTATATTTTATCATTTTTAAAGAGCTTAAAGCTACATTGATATATGATACTGTTTAGATCTTCTTGCAATATATACTTTGTTGCTTGTTTTTTACAGTCTGGTATATAGCTTATCAACATAAACACTTGGCATTTATGATTGCTGGAATTCTCAGGAACAATCTTTGGGCTACTGCAAAACCAGAAATCAAAGTGTGGAATGGACCATGTATTCCCCTAGCTAAGCATATGAACCCACTCCTGCTGTGCCATCCTGTAAGGAACAATGGAAATAGCCATTTCCAAAATCTTTGAATTGTAGATTCAGAAAATGTCAAAGGTCACTTAGTCCTAATATGTTCTGTTGTGGACAAATACAGCAGAAAGAGGAAAGCAAAACAGAACAAAACAAACTTGCTGTTTTCTTTCATAAACATTTGTTGTGATATAGAATATGGCCCAGCAGTCATATGTACTTAATTCTGAATAAAACCTTTTGAAAATGAGTCTTACTAAAATAATTTTATTTAATTGCTAGCTATAGTCTTACTAAAATAATTTTATTTAATTGCTAGCTTTTTATAATTGCTAGCTATATGTTCTCAAAGCTCTTTATTCTGCTATGAGAATAATTACAGGATAGAAGCAGGAGCTGTCATGGTAGTTTTTAATTGTTTGGCATCTTATTTACAGATGACTATTTGTCAGGAGTGTGGATTAACTATGTCCCTGTTTACATGCACTCTCTTCTATTTTACCACTAAAAAATATATCTCAACGTATTTGTACACTCATATAGTTATATTTGTGTAAAGCAGAGTATGAATTCAGAAACATTATCCTAAGTAAGCAAAACCACTTCCTATAGTGCTGTATTTTCCTCATTGCCCATTGCCTAATATTCAACATCTAGTATCTTTAATTTTGAATACAAGGCATTTTACAATCCAGCCCAGCTACCATTACAGCTTTATCTCCAGACATTTTCTTCTTCCTTCCCCATCTGTGCTATATTCTAGCTTTGCATAACTAATTGCTATTCCTCAAATAAGCTGTGTTCTTCTAAGCCTGATGCTAGTCCCACAGTCTTACTAATAAAGCCTATCTATTTTTTAATGTCTCCATCAATATTGTTTTATGTGCTAGTGTTCTTAGCCTGAGACAAAATAAATTGCTGCCTTATATATGTTCTCTAATACTTTTATAACCACTATTATATTACCAATTTGCTTTCATACAATCATTTATGTTTGTTTCTTTCTTCCTAGCTAGATTCTTAACTTCCTTAAGGAAATTAATAGATTCATTCTATATTTTATTTAGTTTCAAGTCTCCCATAGAGCCTAGCTCAGTGCCTGCCATACAGTAAGCACTCAAGAAGTGTCTGTTGAACTATGTTAAATAAGATTCTAGACACTTTCGTGCAATAGATCATTTCTATAACCTGGCTTCTTCAAATCTACATTGTATATTCTTCAAACTAGCTGTTAGAATGATTCGACTATAGAACATAACTCTCCCCAAGAGGTGGGGTGTTTCATCAATTTTACCCATTTTTTTCTTGCAATGTCATTGGAGTGAGTTGAACATGCAACCCAATTCCACACACAGAGCAGTCCCCCTGTTCTTATCAACCTTCCACAGCCTGTGAAGCCCTCAGTGTGCCTCTGTACTTTGCCACAAACATGAGGTTCATATTCCCTACCATAGCCATTTTGCTGGAGGCTTCCATGATTGCTTTATTTGGATTCTTTGTCAAGTATGAAACAGAGCAGAATGCTATCCAGCAGCCCAACAGCACCAACTCAACAAAAGTGGACAGATCTCTTGAGTTATATCCTCGTGAGTAAGCCTCTACTTCTTATTATACATTTTGGGTTTTTCAGAATGTGAACCCATTTGGGGGACAGAGACTGTGAAATCTTTGAATTCTGTAACCATCTGAGCTCCACACTGGAGGAGCACCTTATAGAATTTGAGGGTATTATATGTTTATGCTGAGGTATCTGGTCTATGACATCCAGTCTCTGTAGTTAATGTGTTTGGATAGAATATATGTCTATTAAAATATCAGCATAAGAAGCCAAAAATTAAAACAATTGATTAATCTTTTGTGTTGCCTACCTCTGCTAAATGACATTAATTTTCCCTTAAATTGACTCCTCTTTCTGCAAAGTAAAAAAAAATCACCTCTCAAACAACAACAATAACAAAGAATCAAAGGTAACTTTCAAAGAAAGGGTAGAAACAAAGTGAAATATTGAGAAGGGAGCCTGGATTTCATGTGGCGGCCCTAAGGCATAAGAAGTGATATTAAGGATGATATTGGAAGTAAATGGATGTACTCTGCATTTTATAGCATTCGAAAAGGAACGCAATTTGTTCCTCTGCAATGGAAGAAAAGTGTGAGCACCTAAAGCAGATTCCTTCCCTGGGAATTGTTAACTGAAGAAAAGAAAAGATTTAATTTTGAGTTTGACAGGGAAGGCAATGAAATAGTTAATAAAACAATAATAATTACCATTAACTGAGTATCTATTTGGAGCCAGGCATATTCATTACATCATTAACACCAGGGCGGGAGGTGATAATATATCCTTAGTATATAGATTTTTTTTTAAATAAGGCACACATGATTTTATTATTAATTAACTTACTAAATATTAACTTTACTAATCGTTTAAAATAGTAGCAATGTTTATTACAGTTCTATGGTGTATGTCTAAGCTTTAAAAAAAATATGACATTTGTTCTCTCATTCCTACATTTTTTGATGGGGTTATATAATGGGGAATATTTTCATGCAAATGATCTGACCCTGGAGCCATCAAATGACTCAGCCATATTATCCCTGGCTAAAGCATCTTGTAGAATAGCCCAGAAGCTACAGGATTATGATTATATAAATATATTTTCCTACATTTTCTACATTTTTCCCTACATTTCAAATTGACTTACACATAACTTATGTGACAGCTTAAACCGTTAGAAAAGATTACTAAATATTCTCTTATTAAGAAGAAATGTTCGGGGCAGCCCGGATGGCTCAGCGGTTTAGCACCTGCCTTCAGCCCAGGGCATGATCCTGGAGTCCCAGAATTGAGTCCCGCATCAGGCTCCCTGCATGGAGCCTGCTTCTCCCTCTGCCTGTGTCTCTGCCTCTCTCTCTGTGTGTCTTTCATGAATAAATAAATAAAATCTTAAAAAAAAAAGAAATGTTCAAGTCAAACACTTGGGGGTGCCTGTCTAGCACCATGTGTTGTACCAAGAGCAGGATTCAAGTTAGTATAGGGAGGGCTCTGCTCCTGCTTAAGAAGCTCATGGTGTGTTACAACAGTTCTCAACTGCAGTGTGCTAAAAATTATGAGTTTTCCACAAATAAGCAAGGCAGAGTATTAATTTATATTTCAAATAAAACCAGTGAGATATAGGTTTATTCATCCCTCTTGCTTGCTTCTGCTATGCTTTGATAGCAGAGTAATGTATGCTGTCACATGGACCATCCCAGGGCACAACCGTCGAAGTATGTGGCACATCGGAATATCATGTTTCATGTCATGAATGACTCCTTAGATAGTCATTTTTTAAAAAGATTTTATTCATTTTATTCATGAGAAATACAGAGAGAGAGAGAGAGAGAGAGAGACAGGCAGAGGGAGAAGCATGCAAGGAGCCCGATGTGGGACTCGATCCTGGGTCTCCAGGATTGCGCCCTGGGCCAAAGGCAGGCACCAAACAACTGAGCCACCCAGGGATCCCCCATAGATAGTCATCTGAGAAATAGGCTACACTCTGTGGAGTTTTGGCCCTCATGGTACCTAGCCAAGTATCAGTCACTCTGCTGAGAAAAATAGTTTGACGAGGAGTGAAGCATGACTGTGACACTTGGCCAATTCTTGCTAACTTGTGACAGAGAAAAAAGAGAGTTTAGAGAGAAGGCCCTTTGTTGAGGCCTGTCAACATTTTATTAGATATTCTACAGACACATCTTTAATAGCTAAGGGATATGAAAGCCACATCCATGATGTTGTTATACTCTATTACATGCAAATCCATGGGTCTTGCACTTTGAGTAGTTTTTACCTATGTGTGATCTTGTTATACAATGCATTGGTCATTTGAAAAATATTGATTGAAAGTTATTCATAATATAATAATCAAACACATAATATTCCAAACATTGACATAATATTCATAATATAATAATTAAAAAGGATACTTCTTAATACCACCAATAACTTCAGGAAGCCCTTGAGAAGTATCAGGAAGCTAATAAGCTCATAGGGACAGACACAAGCTTTCTAAAATTATAATTTTTTTAAGTCAAATGCTATTACTGGCAACAAATACTGTCAATTCTTTTCCTTGAAATGACAGCCTCACTTCATTCATTTCTCAGACTGTGTCAATACCTGTCTGAAAAACTATAGCTTATGTCAGTCTTTATTTTAAATAAAAATAGAGTTCAATGAAAAAAACTACTCATTCAGCTGGTACTCAAACAATAACAAACGTGCTTTGTTTCTGAGATGCACATCATGTGTTAGCAGTGCTTTATGTATAAATGCATTTCCACAGACTAATTCAAACAGAATATTAAAAGGACATGTATAGTATAAGAAAGTCAGTAGTTAAATTAATAATTTTTCCTACTTCATCAAAGAATTCTTAATTAAAGCCTGCTTTTTTCCCCCCTTCAAGTGAGTGGTCATTAAGAATACCACTTAAGAGAGGTGTCTGAGTGGCTCAGTCAGTTAAGAATACCACATAAGAACCTCTTAACTCTAGGAAACAAACTAAGGGTTGCTGGAGGGGAGGGGTAAGGGAATGGAGTAACTGAGGGATGGGCAGTAAGGAGGGCACATGATGGAAGGAGCACTGGGTGTTCCATGCAACTGATGAATCACTAAACTCTACCCTGAAACTAATAATACACTATATGTTAATTAAATTGAATTTTAATAAAAAATAAAAAGAATACCACAACCATCAGCACAGTTTGGTGCTACTGCTTTCATCCTACTAAAGTGCCCATAGTTTTTCACACCTTTGTCTCCTCATCTCTGGAAGTACCAACACAGCAAAAAAAAAAAAAAAAAAAAAAAGCAAGTAAACACCATAGAATTATCATGAAAATAGTTTTCACCTCTCAGACTCCTTGAAAGTGTCTCCAAGACCCCCGGATGTGTACCAATAAACTTTGGGACCACTGAAGATGAAGGTAAACTGGCAAAGGTTGTACATGGCCCTTAGACATTATGTTATGAATTTCAATACCAGCAATGGATTAAGTACAATGATCTATTTTTAAAGAGCTACATTTAAGAATGTGTTTCTATATTTACTCAGATGCTGTTCAGCTCATTTATTACCCAAAGATTTAGCAGATCTAGAAACAAGTTACAGGCAAAGAGTAACTAATTTGTGTAGTGTAAATGAATCCTAGGGAATTGTTTGCTGTTATTCTAAATGTTACCTGGAATTGTTTCTATTCCTGAAATAACATACTGTCTGTAGTTTATAACCTAACAAGAAGATATCAGCCTCCAGTAGAACACTGCATGTTGCCTTTGACTGAATAGTTTTTGCGTACTGGGAAGGACTGGAAGCAACGGGCACAAATAGAACCCAAATCCTAGTTTCTGAATACCATTCCCCACTCACAGGCTCATTGGAGAAATTGTTGGTTCCAGGTCAGGGTAAAGAAGGCACTAGGTAAGCCAAGGGTGTAAATACTAATGGGAATATGCTGAAAGAACACAGGATCCTGACTGAAGCAGCACCAACTAGACAAATTGGGGATAAATGGAGAGTTAAAAATAATAATGACATGGTAATAGTAACTCATGGAAAGAAAGATAAAGGATTCAAGGATGCCTGGGTGGCTCAGTGGTTGAGTTTCTACCTTCGGCTCAGGTCATGATCCCAGGATCTGGGAAAAAGTCCTGCATTGAGCTCTCCATAGACAGCCTGCTTCTCCCTCTGCCTGTGCCTCTACTTCTCTCTGTGTGTCTCTCATGAATAAATAAATAAAATCTCAAAAAAAAGAAAGAAAGATAAAGGATTCAGTGAAACCATAGAAATATTCCCCAAAGAGGGGTCCCAAAGGGAGAGAGAAAAAGCTCTTCCTTTTAGAAGAATGCCAACTAATTAACATAAAAGAAATAATATATACAGAAAACTATAATTTTGAACTTAAAAATGTAATAACTGATTCCAGCAAGGTTCTTTAATGAAAGCAAAAACCATTGGGTAAAGTTACTAAAGAACACATATCTGAAAGAATTGCCCTAACAAACTGCTTATAGTTTATCAGGCAAAAGTTACATTTATGGTGAAGAGACTTAACAGAACAGTCTCAACCACATGATCAAATTTACCATCACCAATAATAGGAAAAACAAATTACATGCCACCTAGTGAGGTGAAGTGGGAAATGCATAGCACCACCCATATAATATTCTTCCCAGAATATTCAGTCTCATTCTAACTATGGTGAAACAGTCAAACAAATCCAAATTGTGGGACATTTCGCATTAAGGACAAAACCGTGTGGGAGAACCCATCTAAATAAAAGACACATGGCAAACAAAAAAATGTATGAAGGTTGAATGGATAATGGGTTGAAAATCCTAAAAAAAGAATAATTTGTGAACAGTTGGAAAAATTTCAACATAGATTCTATATTATATAATATTATTGTATCAATGTCATATTTCTTGGATGTGATGATGATGTTATGATTATTTAGGAGAATATCTTTTTCATTAGGAAATTCACGCTTAAAGTGGTTGGGAGCAAAATGTCATCCTACTTCCAAATAGTTTAGAAGAGTATATACATATACATCTGGAGAGAAAGGGTAAATATGGAAAATATCAACAATTGACAAATCTGGTGAATAGTACATATATTCATTGTACTATTTTTCTAAATATTTGAAATATGTGAAATTAAAATATTTGGGAGGTGGGAGAGGAAAGATTCCACCCTAAGAATAGTTTTCTCTCATAAGAGTTCAAAATATAATCCCAACTGATTCAAAGGACTAGAACTCTAAGAGCAAAAAGCTATGCGCTTGGCAAACACCTTGCCAGCCTTTAACCATTAAAAAGCAGAGCAACAACAACCAAAAAAAAAAAAAAAAACAAAAAAAAACGGGCAGGTGGCTGGCAACCCATTCTATGTAATAAAGTCCCGGCCATCTGCCCACAGCAAAAAATAAAAAATAAATAAAAAGCAAAACAAAAGAAGAAAGCCAACCAATTTCTAATTGATCAGCTGAACAATTTTCATGACTTGAAATTTTCATCACCAGAAAAACAATTTTTCTAAATAAAAGACTGATAGTCCCAGTTAGATGAATTCCCAGTGGCCCTCACCAGTGATCCATCTATTTATGCATAACTGAGGCATCTCCTGAAAAGCTACAGATGCCAGACTTTCTGATGGAGCCTATGAGCGACAAGCCACCTCTCGTTCTCACCTTTATGCTTGGATTCACTTTCTCCTGGAAGGGTGCCTTACTGGCGTGCTCACTCCATAGGCTATTTGAATAAATGACAAGCATTTAGGCAAGCAAAGCACACAGAGTAACAAAACAGACAAGCACATAAACAAGTGAAATAAAGTAAGAGGGATATGCACAATGTTACAACTGTGACCCGTAACAGTGTGCAGAAATTCTGGTTCTTTTTTTATTTTATTTTTATTTTTTTTTTATTTTTATTTTTTATTTATGATAGTCATACAGAGAGAGAGAGAGAGAGGCAGAGACATAGGCAGAGGGAGAAGCAGGCTCCACGCACCGGGAGCCCGACGTGGGATTCGATCCCGAGAAATTCTGGTTCTTGAAGGGGGTATAGAAGTTTGCCAGGGAAAGACCCGTTGGGTTTGGGATGGAGAGGTAGCTGGCATTACAGGAGAGAGAGGGAAAGGACGAGGGGGTCTGTTTCATTCTTTTGATGGTAGTAGTGGTGGAAAGTGAGTTGGAGCCATCAGTTGCATCTTAAACATGTTGAGTTACCACGCCTTACAAGATACCCTACCGCAAGATGAAGGTGGAAGTAAAACAGAACAAAAATACCAGCTATTGTCACATTTGCTCTGGAGGCTAAAATCACACTCTATTGAAAATATCTGATATAGACAAGTCTTGGCAATTCTTGAAACTTTTTAGAAGACTTCACAAAAGTTCGATCCTCTTCCCTTCACACCATAGAACTAAACTCACGATCCTCTGTCTAGTTCCCACCCACAAATGCTTAGAGCAGGATAAAAGGCAATACAGAATCCTAATTGTTTATAGATCTTTCTTATCCACACTTTTTATACAAAATCATTATGATTCACAACTTTGTAGTTACCTTAGAGACTTAAATGGTAGATAAGGTTCTTAAGCCCCCTTGTGGCGAAAAGCAGTAACAATCTGAGGGGGAGAAAACCATCCGCACACAGATAATATGTATGGTACTTATATTTCAAAAAACAAACAGGTTCACGTTAATTGACAGTTGCCAATCAACAGGTCACATAGAATCCTAATCCTGAAGTTCCCTGAATAGATATGAGATGGGGGTGGCCCTCCAGAGCGCTGGCGTTAAGTGAGATTGTTGGCCAGTCCACATTATCTAACTGGAAGAAAGAAAGCACAGCATTCTCCTCTCTGAGACTTTCCTCAAAGTTGCTGAGAAGGGACGATTTTTAGAAATATACTATTCCTTTTTTTGTCCTCCTCATACTGCTTCAATGAACAATAACATGACCAAAAACCTCATTGTATGGATAGAGTCAGAAGAGTAAATGACCCTAGTATGTGCCTGAATCACAGTAGGCTGTTCTCATTCCCTTTATTCTTATATTTGCTGCCTTCATCCACAAGTTAGACTGGCTTCTAGACCACTGAGGGATCCTACTGACTCAATCTAAGAAACTAAGCATATCTGTCTGTCTTGTTATTCTTCGTAGAGTAATACCTTAGGATAAATCCCCATGCCCCCCAAGAAGCCCTTCATATGCCTTCAAAGAGCTTTTGAAATTCTGGGTGCCTTTGGAAAGTCAACATCTTCATCCACTTCTGAGTGGAATCACTGTCACAGATTATTTCATTAAATTTAATTTGCAAAGTTTAAAATTAATGTGGTATGCAAGTTGTGTCAGGGAGAGAAGGTCAAGAAAGTTCTGCAGAGAGGAATGTAGCCCATAGAGAAGGTGCTACAGGTTGGGCTCCCTGGGAATCAGACTTTAAGATAGACATTAGCCTGAAAGGAGTTTTAGTAGAGAGTTCCTTAAGGATCAACACCTGTAGTGGGAAGTTTTGCAGGGAGAGACCCAACAGGATATCCTGAGACTGGAATTATTTAGCTGCAGGTGGTTCTCTCCTGAGACCAGGGGATGCTCCTGTGAATCAGTCATTGGGTACAGACTGACCCAGAAAAGGTAAGAGCATTTCCCTGAAAGAATTGAGAGCTCAGGGCTATCATCTAGCAGCACTCCCTACAGCCAGGGGAATGGAAAGAATAGGTTCTTATTTCTAAAAGGGGTTTCTGGAGAGTGTATCACAGCATCTCCTACAGTAGAGAGAGCTAAGTGGCATAATCTCCCAACCTCAAACACACTGTCTCTTCTCTTGAGCCCGAGGTAGAACAGAGGTAAAAAGAACCAAGAGATTACTATTACTATTACCTGTATTACTATTACACGTCTTTGAGCGCCTTGGAGGCCAACATTCTGTCTTGGTTATATTTACAACCATCCCTACCATGCTCAATGCATGGAGGAATTGGTGTCAAGCCTGGACTCAAATCTTCACCCCACCTTTAGAAATCAGTTGGATTCTATTTCTCTGAGTTTCCTCTGAGATTTTTTTGAGGCATGTCCTCCCTCATGACTATTTCCACTTAAACCCCTGGCCACAGTGGTTCATAGTAATTTGACATTAAATATTTTCTTTTTCCTCTCTGGTTTTATATTTATGCCCAATTCTATCTCAGTTTGTTTTGTGTATCTATTAGGTTGAACCACAAAAAAGTTGCCAATAACTGAGCCATTTTTATGATAATTTCCATGTAAAAATTATAAATGCTAATATGGTGTGGCAAATGCTAAAGTTGAAGTAATATGCAGAATGATGTGTGAAAGACAAAATATTAATTTTCCCTGGGAAAACTGGGAAAGTCTGCAAGAGCGGATGATGTTTGTACTGTGCTTTGCAATGTCTTCCACAGGTAGAAAATAATGGAAAACTCTTAAGGTATTCTAAGAAAAGGGTCAAATACTGAATAATTTGCCCAAAGTCTCATGGCTGGTAGGCAGCTGGCTGCCCAGTTAATGCTCTCCCTTTGCAGCGTTTTATGTAAAAGATGTAACATTTAAAAATGGGATATACTATGATGCAATACTTGCTTAGTTCTCCCCCAACATAGAATTTTTTTCCTCTTTTTTTTTTTTTCAGTATTCCAAGATGTGCATGTAATGATATTTGTCGGATTTGGCTTCCTCATGACCTTCCTGAAAAAATATGGCTTCAGTAGTGTGGGCATCAATCTACTCATTGCTGCTTTGGGCCTCCAATGGGGCACTTTTGTGCAGGGGATGGTGCACCGCCGCGGACAGACAATTTACATTGGAATCAAAAAGTGAGCATCCCTTATTTTCAACCACTGTGTCTTCAGAGCAGTTGTTTCTCTGCTTGGTGTCTTGTCAGTCAGCCTCCGAATTGGCAGGCACACTGTTTCCCTTAGACCACAGAAGATTGTTGGGATCTCAGGATGTGCATCAACACCTTGCTCTACTGAGCTAGGTCATACATCCATGTCTGTATCTCTCTGGTTTGACTCTAAGGACACAAAATATCCCCTTTCATAAAAAGATTATTCCTTCCATCTCAGCTATAGGGAACAAAAATCCTCCATTAGCTATTTTTCTACATGTCTATATTTACATTTTGAAATGTAAACACTGTAGAAAATAATCCATTTATCAGACTGACAAAAATAAATAAAAACCTAAATGAGATCAAGAACAGGTTGATCAAAACAGGAAATGTTGGAGCAGCTAGAGCTTATGGCAGATGGACAAGAGGTAGGGTAAAGAAGTGAGAATGTGTGAAAGGGTACATGGGGTGAACACCTGATGGGGAGCTGTGGGGAGGGGACCTTGCACGCTGGATAAAGTGATGCTGTAATTCATCCCAGCTCACAGTTTTATGTTGGGTTTGTATTATTCTTTTATGTATTCTTTCTTTTTTCCTCAGCATGATAAATGCAGACTTCAGTACAGCCACAGTCCTGATTTCTTTTGGAGCTGTCCTGGGAAAAATAAGTCCAACCCAAATGCTGATCATGACAATGATAGAAATCACGGTCTTTGCTGGCAATGAATATGTGGTTGGTGAGATATTTCAGGTAAAGATTAGAGGATTTTTACTTACTAGCTTTGGACATCAGTTCTGGTTATACCTAAAGGATGCCCACTCTACATAGGGACAAACATTGATGAGCATAATAGCATAGCAAGTGTAATTACACTCATCACTTGTTTGAGTGTCTTTGGTAAACCAGGAGTCTTATCAACATTGCCTCATTTCATTGTCACTGCCACACTATCACCTGGATATTATGTTGTTACTGTTATACAAATTATAACTAATGATCACAGATGCTGAATGACTGGTCCAAATCTGGATTCAAGCCTAGATTTTTCTAACTCCATAACTCATTTTATTACATTATATTTCCTATTAATGATCAATTCCTATTATATTTCAACTACTACACGACTAGCCTTTACTTTTAAAAAAAAATTTTATTTGAGAGAAAGAGAGACTAAGAGCATGATAGAAACAGAAGGCAAGTGGAGGGCAGGAGGGTGGAGGGCAGGGAAGGGAAGGGCAGGGGGAGTGAGAGAAGCAGGTGCCCCACTGAGCAGGTAGCCAAGGGACTCCATCCATCCCAGGACCCCAGGATCATGACCTGAGCCAAAGGCGGACACTTAGCCAACTGAATCACCTATGTGCCCCCTGACTAGCCCTTTCTAAGGCTTTTGTTAAAGTCTAGATCAAATTTTTTCCCTAAGGATAATCGATAGAATATTTCCAAGCATACCCCAGTATTTTGCTCATTTCTATTGAACATTTAATGTCACAGCAAATTCTTTTTAAGTTTTTATTTAAATTCCAGTTAGTTAACATACAGTGTAATATTAGTTTCAGGAGAGCAATATAGTGTTCAACACTTCCATACAACACCTGGTATTCATCACAGCAAGTGCACTCCTTAATCCCCATCACCTGTTTCTCCCATCCCCTCACCCACCTCTACTCTCAACATAAAATGTTTTTGAAAGTTTTCTAGGTATCGTGTGATGGTAATTTTGACTGACAAAATAGCTAATGTCCCTGTATCTATAGAATTTACAGTCCAGTGAGAGAGATAGACATCAAATAGGGAATCATATATCACCCACCCACCAGAGCCACCTGCATGTACATGCACACACAAATATTATTATAAATTGCAATACCTGCTATGAAAAATAAGTAGAGGGGACTATGGGAGAGCATAACTGGAAGACCTCATTTAGATTGTGGAATCAAGGAAGGCCTCTCTGAGGAAGTGACAGTTTAGCTGGATCTGAATGGTAAAAAGAATGTATCAAGTATGAAAATCCTAAGTAAATTAATAAGTTTGTATCATTTTCCTACCTTAATAAGTACAGTAGGAACTATGCCTCACATTTGGTACTCCTAACTTTCCCTCTAGTGGCAGACAAATGTAGAAAACTGGATCAAATTCATAGTGTCCTAAGGAGGGACCTAAATATATTGCTTCAAATGAATCTTGGACCTCGGCTGGTTTTCACATCATCACATAACACAATGAAAAAAATAAAATATGGGAAAGACTGGGGCTTTTGAAAGCTTCAAGTCTTTGAATTGCAATTAAGTGAGTTTTAACTGTAATGTCAAATGAATACAAAAAGCATCTTCCTTTTGAAACAAGCACAGTACATAATATTTCAGTAAGAATTTCCCTAACCTGGAAAAGTAACTTATAATGAATGGAAGGTCACGAATACCTAGCACTTTCCGAACATAGCCCCACTAAGTCTCCTCACAACTATATCAGCTGGGTAATATTTCCCACTTTACAGAAGCAGACATCCAGAGAAGTAAAGTAATTTACCTAAAGTCACATTGCAAGGAAGTACCTGATAGAGCATTGGAAGTCAGTTATGCATGTCTCCAAAGTCTGTATGTTTTTTAATTTCACTATCCTGTTTTATTTTTTCTGGCACATCCTTCCTTTCTTTTTAATTTTATTAGAAGTGAAACTGAGTCTCACTATGGAGCAATCGTTTAACCAATGACTTTTGCTCCATAGTGGGACTAAGTTTCACCTCTAATATCATGAATGCTTTGCCCCTCAGGCCTCTGACATTGGAGCATCAATGACCATCCATGCTTTTGGGGCCTACTTTGGCTTGGCAGTAGCAGGTGTCCTGTACCGGACAGGCTTGAGAAAGGGTCATGAGAAGGAAGAGTCTGAGTACCACTCAGATTTGTTTGCAATGATCGGTGAGTAGAGATGAACTTGCCTGATTCAGTACCTAAGGCAAACTGCCTCTGCTGGACTGTCTTCCACATCCAGAACTAAATTCCTTTTCTGTGTTTTACTGCAGGGACTCTTTTCCTATGGATGTTTTGGCCCAGCTTTAATTCAGCCATCGCTGAAACTGCCGAGGAACAGTACCTGGCCATCATAAATACGTACCTCTCTCTTGTTGCCTGCGTGCTCACAGCCTATGCAATGTCCAGTCTTGTTGGGCACAGAGGCAAGCTCGATATGGTAAGTACATATTAACCACCATGGAAGCTTCGCTAAGTGACACTGGTGGTTGCTCAGATGAGTGGGTCATTTCTGCACCACTGCTGAGCTGCCACAACAAATCACAACACCGCAAACCTTGCAGAATATTTTGAAAATTATGTTCATTTGTTTCTTCATCAAATTTGTATTGTGGCAAATCAAAAAGTGTCCCAAGGAATTTACAGTCTATTAAGGGATATAGTCATGCAAAAATCAAAGATTTGAGCCCTATTTCTTTAATGATATCGCTGACTGTCTCCAAGGTATTAGAAAATCCTCCTTAGAAACAAAACTTGCCAAGTGTAGAGAAAGAGAATGGGGGGAAGGTGCACGTTAATTCTGTTTTCCTGACTGCAAATATTCCTCTCAAAGAAATGACAACTAAAAACAACGTGAGATCCTGAATAGGATCTTGGAAAAGAAAAAGGGCATTACTGGGAATGCTGGTAAAAGTCAAATAAGACTTTTACTAGAATTCATTCTATCAATGCTAATTTCCTGGTTCTCTGATTGCATAAGATGTTAACATTGGGAAAAACTGGGTCAGGGATATATGGAAACTCTGCAGGATTTTTACAACTATTACATGTCTAAAGTTATTTCAAACACATTTTTTAAAAACCTCCCCAAGCTGGTCTTTTGAGTTTCTTGCCTATGAAGCAGAGAAATGTCAGTGAAGGAATAATCCACACATCAGCTGCTCTTCTTTTCCAGCCTGAGGGAGGAAAAGGATATTGTAATTTCTTCAAGCATAGCTAAGGACATGGATTTCAATGTACAAATTGCTTAATGAAAGAAAATTGGAAACACAAAAAGAAAAAAATTGTACATGTACAACTCAGTCCTAATTAAAAGTAGGGATGAACTTTCCCCCTCAGGCAGAACAGCCAAAACATGATTCCTATGAGGAATTCTGGTAAATGGAAATTGGTTACTCTTTCCACCATCTTCAAATGTTCTCAATAATGAAACTTGGGAAAGCTGTTGTCTCTCATGGATAAATGTGCACATTTTGGTGTCTCTACATTCCATCTTTATTGGGATATCATGGACTCCACACAGTAGCCACAGACCTCTTTTGGTTCATGAATACCACAAATGCATTCTCCAACTGAAAAAAATAGACATACCACAGTTAGGATAACTGCACTGTACATACCCCGGTCTCCCACTACCACTTCTTTGGTTTTCCTCACATCCCTCCCCAAACTGGTCTCACTAACCCAATCACTTAGTCATTACCAAGAACTCCAGCAAGGAAGATATCAAATGTCACCTGCTTGGAAGAAAGGCCTTCTGTCACCTTTTTAAAAAATAATCTATAGCTCTTTGAACTGAAGAATGTGCCATAGGGCCCATGGAACCCTATGTAGATTGTTTCACTTCTTCTGAAGGCTTCCTCATTCAGCTCACTTCATTCGTGTTTCTGTGCTCCACACAGGTTCACATTCAAAATGCAACCTTGGCTGGAGGAGTGGCTGTGGGCACTTGTGCAGACATGAAGATTCACCCGTATGGTTCTTTGATCATTGGGAGCATTGCGGGAATGGTCTCCGTGTTGGGGTTCCGGTTCCTGACCGTAAGTATGACAAGTGCTCTCAAACTTTGAATCTGTACCATCATCTTCAGGCATGCCATCAACAGAGAAAAGCCATGAAAATTCCTTTTATCATCACCCCTCCTTGTTTGAGGATCATTTCCCTTCCTGTCAGAAATACCACTCACATTTCATTGTGCAGTGGTTTCCACTCTTCCTTGACTTCTTTTGTGTAATGGGAAAGAATCTGATAAATTATTAAACAATTAGTGTGAATTAAATGTTAAGTACTGGTGTTACTTCCTTAGGACAGTTCCACTAAAGGTTTTATTGTTGGTGATGTTTATTTGTATAATTGAGGATTTTGTGCCCTTTTAACCCCTTAAACTCCTTATCATCAGTAGGTAAGAAGGAGGATAATTTGAAATCACTTAAACTTCAAAACCATCTACTAGAAACTAACAAGAGTAGTTTTGTACTAACATATTCAGATTCTTTGACTTAAGGGGTTTTAGATCTGGATGGTAAAAGGGGCATAGTCATTGACTTCAGTTACAGAACTCTATATGTCAAAATAATAAACCTTCTTCTTTTTACAATTTTAGCCATGTCTTACTGCTAAACTGAGGATCCATGATACATGTGGTGTTCATAACCTGCATGGCTTACCTGGTGTGGTAGGAGGCCTCTCAAGCATTGTGGCGATAGTCTTGGGAGTATCTACAGCGTGAGTTAAAGAATGGGTTTTCCTGCACCCTGAGGTTTGATGATGTTTTATCTCATTCCTGAGGAACCTGGTGATGAGAGAGCCTTTTCTTTAGCAATCCAGGCCACAGTTCATAAGTATTGTCCTTACTGGAGCCAAAGTGACACAACTGAGATAATAGAAATGTATAGGAAGATGTGTCAGAACTAATGTTATTATGGTGATTGGTTTTCATTTGTTTTAATTAACAGTGTTAATTTAAATTTTAATTTTTTCTACCATAGGCAAGTGTCTCCTTGCAGATAGTGCAATTTGATAATCACAACCAAATTATAGTAGGCTTACTCTTTTAGTTGGTCTCAACCAAAATGGAGGATGGGGCATCCGTGATAAGCTGAGTGGTCATTTCCTATAATCAACACATAGAATAATGAGTTAGCATAATGTGAAAAGCAGCTGGATCTGGAGAATCAGGAAGACTGGCATATGCTCCAGCTTTGCTAATGGTTAATAATGAGGCCTTTGAAAATTCACTTAGCTTCTGTGGTTCTCAGTTCCTCTTCTATAAAATGAGAGAATTATATTATTTATTCTCTAAAATCCCTTCAAGCTCTAATACACCTAGATTCTTCCCAAAGGGGGCATAACTGTTTAAATGGCCGGGGGGGGGGGGGAACAGTTATCAGTCAAATCCAGGACAACAAAAGTAATGTCAAAGGCCATCTGTTGTCATTTTTAGGTAACAAGATTAGAACAATTTGATATAAATGTCACCCATGCAAAACAGCTAGGAAGATCACTCAGTCCAGTCCAGATCACTCAGACATTAAGTAAAGAGGAACCAAAACACTCAATTTTTAAAGCCAATTGAAAGCATGAAGTAAAGATGAATATGTTTGAAAATGTCTCAAAGCAACTACTGGCTGGAGTTGAATAATCTGAAGAGAAAAATCTCTTTAGTTCTAATAGATTAAATTCGATTCTGTTGAGACCAGTAATGATAAATATTTGAAAAATTTGTTTAGTTTAAACATTTTCTACTGAATAGCTAGCTTGCTTCCACTTTCATCTGGAGAGACCACTCATATCTTCTGTTTGTTTTCTTTTTTTGCCTCCTTCACAAAATTGTAGAACAACCCCAGAAATACCCACATTTTCTGGTAATTCTCTCCAGGACCTAACATGCTGTTGAGACCAAACACTAGCATATTTGAATGCAAATCAAGCATGATAAATGCATGAGTCCATGAGCTCCTAAGTGCTATAGTGTATAAACACTCTGCAAAAACACTTTTAAGATGTGCCTCATGATTAGAAATAAAGGAATTCTTGAGCATCATGCCTGCACAGTTCCATGGATGTATGTAATAAAACAAGATTATCTGGCTCTCATAGGCTGGGTCTGGGTCTCATTGGGTGGCCAGATTTTGGGTAGGTTCTGTGGTTGAGAGTCTAGTCCTTGGGCATTCAGGCTAAGCAGCCACTCCTCAACTCCCTCAGGGGAACTTGGAGGTGGGGGTGGATGATGAGCTTTGGAAGACCTATTCACATGGATGAAATTCACATATGTTTCACACACCAGACAAAATATTTTGGCCAACAGCCAAGACTATTTACCCAGGTGTTTCTATTCAGAATATTAAAATGCAAATCAGGCTTCTTGGTAAGCATAGAACAGGAAAAGTAAATATTCTTAAAGGATATCTGGGCACATTATAGCAGCGTAATTTTAATAAGGCTGTTAATTTTGTTAAACCTTATATTTTCCAAACCTGTTTTATCATGGAACTCTTTTTATCAAAATATCTTTTAATACTGTGGAAAAGATTTTGGCAAATTCTGATAAAATTAACAGGCAGTTTTAAAAAGAAAAATATCAAATGAATAAATATATTTTAAGTAGTTGACCTCACTGGTAATCAAAGAAGTGCAAATTAACACAAGTTACCAATTTTTCGGTTATCAAGTTAGTAAAAATTAAGTGAATAGTACTACTGAATGGTAGCTAAAATAGAGAAATGGGAATATGACTATATATTTTTCTATTTCAAAAAGCCCTTTAAAAAGTGTTTAAACTCTTATTAATAATTCCAATTCCAAATCGGTTTTATTTTAGGGAAATTATTGGGCAAATTCATGAGCATACTCATAAGAGGATGTGTTCTCAGCATTTTTTAAAAAAATATGAAACATTGGAAACAACTAAGAATCCAACCTATAGAACTATAATTAGAGTACCTTTTTACAGTGTAGTACTTGGTAGTGATACTGGACAGCTTGGTTCTTGTCTCACAGAATCAAAGAATGAACCTAGCAAAGGAGAGCAAGTAAAGCAATAGAAGTTTATTAAGCAAAGATACAGAGAAAGCTCTCAGAAGTGAGAGGGGTCCCTACAGGGTTGCCACTGAGGGCTTATAGTGGCATTTTTTTTATTGAGAACTGACTAGGAACCTTGTGACCTTGCAATTCTTGTGCTGTCTTGGTTTGAGTTAGGGCTGGTGATAACATCTTTAATGGCTTACTTCTCTGGAGTCTATTCTTGACTATTCTTTCTTGGTCGCAGATGATTGTCATAAAAAAGACATCCTCCCACCCATACACCTAGGGCAGGGTGGTCTGGCTGGCTCTCTTATCTCTGGTTTCCTTACACCTCAGCATTTTTGGGATTTCTGTGAGCCTGATTCTGTGACCCCCAACCTAGCCCTGCCTAGCCCTATTTGTCCCTAACTCAGTAGTAATTAAAATTATGATCCAGATCTACATTTACTGACATCAAAGGACACTTTGATTAAAAGGATTAATGGGAAAATCAGTATTATAACATGATTGCCTTTTTATAAAAATATATGTCTCTCTTTTACATTCTTGTGCTGAGTAGGATTTGAGGGAAATTAAACTTTTTCCCTTAACTTTCTGGATTGTTTCTCATATTTTTACAATGATCATGTATTATCAGTACAATTTTTTTCACATAGTAGAAAAAAAAAACCTTCAAATAAAAAGAAAAAACAGAAATCTGAGTTAAATACATACTCTCTCTTGGATGATGAAGATGAAATACCAAAACACTCTCATTTTCCAGTTGTTTGCTTTCTCATAATCACTCATTCAGTCCATCAACAACTATTTATGAATTGCCTGCTAAGAGTGAGTTGCCACGCTACAGAGGTATTCACATTCCTAGTCCTTTAGTGACTCATATAACAACCTTATGCATTTCATTAGCTTTTAATGATTCTTCCATTCCCCAAAATTATGAGGCACTTTTTTTACTAATTTTATTTTAAGGTAACTATGTCTAAGATGACTTACAGAGATTTTAATGAGTTGTCTCTACAATATATGCTAAAATTAGCTTTTCTGATCTTGCTGATTTTTAAAATTAAAGTGCAATTGTTCCTTTTGGTATGGGGTGAGGAAAGATGGCCACTAGTGTTTATTTTGTACATTACTCCATCTGTAGTGCTTAAAAGGGAAAGTGGCACAGAGTGAGTCCTGAATAAATATTTGTTGAATGAATCAGGGATCAGAATCTGGTACCATATTTTTAGAAAATACTAAACTCTTTCTAAGGAAGACCTTTTCTTCATTTCTGAAGAAAAAGACAATTTTGCTTGAGTGCTTATAAGGACCTTTAAATATTGCTCAAGAATTTCAAAAAAAATAAAAATAGTAAATAAAAGAAAAATCATAACGAATGTTTGTTTGCTGATGTAATGCTGCTCTCTGGCCTGAAGATGGCAAGCATCCACTCCCCCAGGACATGAGATTTGTCTGCTGGTAATCCTGGAAAACCAACACTGGTCTTTTCTTTTGGCTTCTTAGGTCTAGCATGACAATGCAGGCAGCTGCCCTAGGTTCTTCCATTGGATCAGCAATTGCTGGAGGGCTGATCACAGGTAGGATGAAAAGTAAACAGTTCCATGCATGCTATCAGCATAATAGATGATAAACGTATCGACTGGTGAATTTGAAAATATTATAAACTTCTGATAGTAGTTATCATGTAAGCTCAAGGGGATGATTTTATAGCAATATATACTTTTTTAATATTTTATTTTTAATTAATCTCCACCCAATGTGGGGTTTGAACTCAAAACCCCAAGATCAGGAGTTGCCTACTTTCTGACTGAAGCCAGCCAGGTGCCCCTTATAGCAGTATTTTTACTACTATGCAAGTAAGTTTTCCTCTTCAGCATCATAACATGACTTATTTTCTCCCTACTCTCACAGGTTTAATTCTCAGGTTCATTGTCCGTGGACAGCCATCTAAGGACAACTTCTTTGATGATTCTGTTTATTGGGAGGTACTGTATGTACAGTTTTCTAAGGATGTAAATGATGACTATACCAGGGAAAGTTTTGCTCACCCAAGCCTAACTGTCTGTTTGGCATCCTTGTGACAAACTTGGATAAACTGCATATTTATAGAGAGAAATTGAGACAATGTGTCCAGACAAATAAAATCAAAAGCTACTGTCTTTTCCAAAGCAGAAAGGACATGAAGAAAAGACAGAATTTAGTAGGCAAATGTCCTTTGCTCCTCTGAGAACAATAAAAAGCTACTCATAAAAATAATAGGAATCCCAGGCAGTGGCATGAGGTTTTATACCGTATACCTGAGTAGTCAAAAACAGTAGAATATGGAAAGCTTAAGAACTTAGTGAAGAATCTCACAAAAGGTTTTATGAATAACATCATCTTCTTTCTAACTTCCAGTGTGTACCTCTTTACTCCCTTGCCATTTTCCCCAGATTATTTCTTATGGAGTTTAAGAGTGATAGATATTTTGATGTGTTCAATGGGATTTTCAGAGAGAACAACTTAAGAAAGAGAAGGTAGTCGGGGTGAGTGGGGTAAATGTTTTTGTTCTTTCATTCTTACCCAACACAATTTTTATTTTTAGTTCTTTCTGAACTTGGATAATAATTATAGACAATATCTTTGCTTCTATCCTAACCTCTGACGTGGCCAAGCGAAAGAAACTACAAAGTGCCCTAAACTTGTTTTCTTTAAAGGTCCCAAAGGAGAAAGAACTGGACAATGCACGAATGTGATGGCTACTACTAGCCAGAACCTGAAGACTGAATATCATTCCTGTGCCTCGGCTTCCTTTCCCATTATCTAGAATCATGTTTAAAATTTTTAAAAAGCATCATCCAACTTAGAACATGGAACAGAATGGATGGGTCCTGAGCCTCAAATGTCCAATGTGAAAAATCTTACCACAATCTGGTGCTATTTCTTTACACTCAATGATTGTTTAGTTGTAGGAATATGGCTTATAAAACAGTCAAATGGATTCTTTTTAGGACTCCCAGACTACTTTCGCCAGTGGGTAGGTCCAGGGTGGATATTCCATATATATTCGGGTTTTTTTTTTCCCCATAGAGGTAAATTTACAAAGAAATCAACACATCTGATTATGTCAGTTTCTTAATATACATACTATGTCTTCAATCCCAAAGATTATAAAACTAAAACCAATAAAACAATACCTAAGAAATCAATATAAGAAATATGAAAGAAGGGCAGCCCCGGTGGCCCAGCGGTTTGGCGCCACCTTCCGCCCAGGGCGGGATCCTGAAGGCCTGGGATCGAGTCCCAAGTTGGGCTCCCTGCACGGAGCCTGCTTCTCCCTCTGCCTGTGTCTCTGCCTCCCTCTCTCTGTGTCTCTCATGAATAAATAAATAAAATATTTAAAAAAAAGAAATATGAAAGAAATATATTGTGTAGAGCAAGAATATAATTATTTTTGGTGGCGCTTTATTGATTTAAAAAGTCGTTAGTAATATGTCTTTGCTTGAATATTCTTATGCTTAATTCTTTTTGTATGTTTAATATTTCCAACAAGAGCTCAAGTGCTATCTGACCAAAGTCTATTTTGTATAAAATTCCAATAAATTAAATGTTATTTTATTATAAATTAAAGCATTTGTCTTTGGCTCTTCTTTCTTTGGTGGTTGGAATTCATTTTATTAACAAGCACACACACACACACACTCCTCATATTTAGTCCATATTCAATGCAAATAAATTGTTACTATGTATTAACTACAAAATAATCAGGCTAATGTCTCCTATTATGGGGTAAGTTTTAAGAAACTAAGTTTTAGAAAAGGTAACTGACATAATCATATAAAACCATTTCTAAAGAAATATGATTTTTTTTTCTCTCTCTAGAACCTTTTAGCATTTTCCTTCTATTTCTGGAGTCCTGGGATCTTGTCAGGATATATCTTTGTATCTGTGAGGAAATAAGCCCTGGTAAAATTAACAGAGCCTTTAACTACTAGATGCTAGATATTAAAAATTACAACAGTGAATTATTTAATATTTTATTCCTCTGGAGAAAAAGTATAATCTATTTATAAATCTTAAGTATTTCACTAGACAATTAGGTGTTTTCTTTCAAATGTACATCAGAGTCTCTTTCACATGGATTTTGCAGTGTGCTTATTTTATTAAATCCACTATCCCCAGTCTTGCTTATCATCACAATCATCTTCACTACCCAGATGTCCAGAGACCCCCTTATTCCCTGCATATCATAAGGCAAAACTTAGAGGATCTTGAGTATACACAGGTATTTTTTTTAAGTCTATGATTGTGACGTGCTTAGGAACACAGCTGTGATGGCCATTAACCTTTGGCTTATGAACATTCTCTCCTGCCTTGCTACAATGCTGTTCTTATTAGCGGTACTCTTATTTTAAAATTCTGGAATTAATGGTCTTTTTTTTTCATAATAGAATATGCTCTTTTTATCTATCTTGTCTAGAATTTGGTGAAGCATCCTAATTTGATGATTTGAGACTTCTGCTCAGAAAAACTTCCTTCTACTACTTAATGGCTTCTTCTCCATCTGTTAACTTTTCTTTGTCTAGTACTCCTGTTATTCACATGGAAAGTTGACTGGAACTGTTATCCAAATCTATTGTATTGCCCATCTTTATTTCATTGGTTTTAACAGAGATTCTGTGCTCCTTCTATCCATCTATTGATTTGTTTGCAAATCATTGTCCATCTTTATAGGTGCAGCTATATCTTGTGTGTGTGTGCATGTGTGTGCATGTGTTATGCTTGAATCTCCTTAATTGTTCTTACAACTTTGTTTATTGAGGAATGTGGTGCATTTTGTTCAAGTTTCAACATCTAACCTGGCTCTGTTAATAGTTAAATAACGTTTTTTTATTCTTTATCTGTTCCAAAAAAAAAAACATTTCAGATATCAAATAATACTATTTATATTAATTGGCTGATTTTTCAGCTCTACTTGGATGATCAGTTTCAGGAAGTTTTTGCTATTCTTTGTTCCTATCTAAATCTAAAAGACTGGCCTATAATTTTTAACTGCAATTTCAGACAGTTTGGTGAAAGCTGAGATATTTTCAGGCTTCCCAGCCCTTACTTCTACAGTCTTTACTGCCTATCATATAAGAGAGCTCTGTTGATCTAGGGGAGGACTACTGCAATAGCTTTTTTTTGTTAGAAGTCACTTATTTTGTGTATCTCTTAAATCTCTTCATTTTGGGTTCTGGCGCCCCTTCAGTTGGTTGTTGATTTAGCTTGTTCCCTGGGAAATTAAATTCCAGTTGCTAAGGCACCATGGGTGGCAGCAATCTTGATAATGAAGAGAGGCACAGCAATCGGGCAAAATATGTCAGACATTTGCCAGATTGTGAAATTATAATTTCTCTAGTTAAGGCTTGAACAAAGTCTCTTTGTTCTTCAGTCCTTTTGTCATGCAATGCTTGGTGTTCTTCTAAAACCAGGACCAGAAAGGACTCATTGCATCTGGTAAGCATTCCTGCAGCTCATGGAGGACAAAGGAGTCCCACTGTCATCCCAGGAATGCTCAGTTGAGAAGATGAATTACCATTTCCTGGGAATTCACAAACTTCTGCAAACCAATAGTTCTCAAATCTTTACCCCTTGGGTCTCTGCCACTTGCCTCCAAATTCTTATCCAAAACAAAAGAGGGATGTTCTCTATCAACTTCTTTTCCCTTCTTGGAATCCAAGGTTTTATATCCTCCAGTTAAATAGTAGGCCTGGTTACTGCTCAACTCAGGACAGGTCCTGTAGTTTGATTAGAGATGTAGGATGAAGAGGGACTGTCTGGCTTAGTTAGGATAGCACATGACTCTTGATCTCAGGATCATGAGTTCAAGCTCCACATTAGATGTGGAGCCTACTTAAAAAATTTTCTTTAAAAAAAAAAAAAAGCTAGAACAGGAATCCCTGGGTGGCTCAGCGGTTTAGCACTTGCCTTCGCCCAGGGCATGATCCTGGAGTCCCGGGATCGAGTCCCACATCGGGCTCCCCGCATGGAGCCTGCTTCGAGAACCCTCTGCCTGTGTCTCTGCCTCTCTCTTTCTGTATCTCTCATGAATAAATAAATAAATAAATACTCTTTTAAATAAATAAATAATTTAAAAAGCTAGAACGGTAGCATACACAGAATGTCATAGATAAGAGGAGAGGGGAATCTAAATAAAATTCAAGGAAAATTTGCCAGAAAAAAAAAAAGCATACAGTTAGGCGAAGAGTAATTAAAAACTCTAGGGGTGCCTGGGTGGCTCAGTCAGGCAAGCCTCTAACTCTTGGTTTCAGCTCAGGTCATGATCTCAGAGTGGAGGGAAAAGGCCCTGAGTTGAGCTCCATACTCAGCATGAAATCTGCTTGAGTTTCTCTCCCTCTAATCCTCCCCCAAGTAAATAAATAAATCTTAAAATAAAAAAATATTTTAAAATCTCAAAAAAACAAAAACAAAACTCAACTCTATTGAAAATAAAGTCAACACTCTTTCCCCTGGAGACCACTTGCTCATGAAATGAAAGATTAGATGTCTCCTCAATCCATTCTTCCTTCTTCTTTTTTTTTTTTTTAAGATTTTATTTATTTATTCATGAGAGACACAGAGAGAGATAGAGCGAGCGGCAGAGACACAGGCAGAGGGAGAAGCTGGCTCATACAGGGAGCCCGATGCAGGACTCGACCCGGGACTCTAGGATCATACCCTGGGCCAAAGGCAGGTGCTAAACCACTGAGCCACCCAGAGAACCACTCCTTCTTTTTGAAGATAGAATCTGTTGGTGCGTGTGTAATTATGTGGATGTGGTTTGGTGGGATAGGTCAGTTGGGGAGAATAGCAAGTAAGATGAATTAACAAATTCATGAACAGTCAGATCTCTCTAATCTGTGCTTTATTTCCTAAATCACCAACTTCTATCTATCCCTAGTGCTATGTTTTGTCCACTTGGGGGGGCAGAAAATCCAGTCTTTTCTAACTAATGATCTTAGCTTTTATCTTGGCCTTATTTCACTGGGTATTCATCAAAAATCTCTTAGAAAAATATCTACCCCAATTTTAGCCAACCTAAATGAGAACAGCTCCAACAAGCATATCTTGTCCTTGTTAACCAGACAAAGAAACTTCCTAGACCTCTTCTGACAATAAGTATAGATCTGCCAGGTCCACTTTTAGACAAATTCCTTCTTTTTTGGGGGGGAAGGAAGGGAGTTGCCCATTAGTATGCCAGGTCTTGAATTTAACTCCTGCTTAGTCTTTTACTATTTATGTGTTTTTAGAAAAAGTATTTTATCTCTCTGAGTCTCTTTATTCACCTATAAAAAGAGATAATATCTACTTTGTGGAGTTATTTTGAGGACAAAAGGTAACATTTTGACACTTAGGAGCACTTAAGAAAAATTAGAAGAAATTTAAATCATCTTAATATTGTTTTAATTTTTTAAAGTATTTATACTAACTAGGTGCTTTTCCATAAACTGTCCAAATTTACTCTTGCAATAGCCCTCTGATTCAGATATTATCATCAAAGAAGCTGAGATTCTGGCTAAAAGAGGTTCACACTTGTAACTTCAAATACCAATTTTTTTTACAACCAACTCCAAATGCTTCTTCTAGAGATTAACTTATAAAAGGACAGAGAAATGAATGTCTCTTGGTGAAATTTCAAGTATTAGTGCAAAGATTGAGATTTCGGCGCCACATAACCAGCAGTTTACCTCAGCCCTGATTACATCAGGCCTAGGGAAGAGGATCTTAGATGTGAGCATTCTGCTACTTCTGCTTGAATCATGATTACTGTG